ATGACGATAATGATGAAATGATGATAACAACAGGAAATTGATATTTCCACCCTTTTTTGATATTGCCACACCCCTGTTAATAAAAATCAATATAAATTATTAGGGTTTGGTCAGGGTTTAGAGTTAGCAGGGGTGTGGTAATATCAAAAAAGGGTGTGGAAATATCAATACCTAACAATAACACCGATAATAATAGTGAAAGCAATAGCAACGATGATGATAGTTATGACGACAGCAATAATGATAGTAGTAAATGACTATAATAGAGTTATAACGACAACAGTAATGATAGTAGTGATGCCTATAGTAATGAAAACAATGACAACGATAGTAGTGATGATGATAATTATGAATGCAGCTATTTTTATTGAGAGAATTCGCAAACCATTTAGCAAAGATTGTAATAAAAATCATGAGTTGTTGAAAGAGGTATTTTTTTAAAGAATAGTTGTAAATTTTATAATTTAATATACACATTTTAACTAAGTTCTTTAAAGTTTATTGCTCATATTAATTGTAGGATATATCATGATTTAGAAATATGTGGTTTAACAAAGAATATAAAAACAAATGAATATATAATGGTATTTAAATACGCTAATAATTGAAATCTCTCTAAATATTTAAGAGAAACTTTTCATAATCTTACTTGGAAAACGAAATTAAGGATACTTAGAATAATTTCGTGCAATTTGCTGAAGGATATAATCATAGAGATTTTCACAGTGATTATGTCTTGCAACATAAAGACATTAATGAGGATATACAGTCTTTCATCTCTGATCTAGGATTATCTAAAAAGATAAATAATAGTGATTCAGATTCGGAATGCTGTATTTACGGAGTCATGCCTTATGTCGCTCCCGAGGTTTTATCAGGTCAAAAGTTTATCAAATCTGCAGATGTTGTCTACTGGACAGAGACCTTTGACGGTTACGAATTTAATAATAAACTTGCGGTAAAAGTTTGCACGGGATTGCGATCTAAATTTGCTCCTGAAACTGCCGAATGCTATATTGAATTGGCCGAAAAATGCATGGGTTCAGACCCACAAAAACGACCTATGGAGTGGGATGTTGATGAAAAACTTTTAGAATGGAATATGTACATGGGTAGAAAAGATAAAAAAAAAAAAACCTTAAAAAACAATTTTTGGAAATCGTTGCCTATATCAAAGCATTCGGATCACATGTACACTAGCAAAATTATTAACACTAAAAAGATTTCACAAGGTAATTTATTAAATTATTTATTTACAGTTTTAAACAAATCTAATCGATTAATGTTGTAGCATTAAGCAATGTCGAGATTCAGGATGATGAGTGATTACTTTTTTTTTTTTAATAATTATTAATTTTCAATAAAATTAATAAAGATAAATAAACATAGGCGCAATTCCAGATAACAAACGACATCATTTGAACAGTTAACTATAATTGAATAGTTAAATATAGTTCAGTAGTCAACGCATACAGTGAATAGTTTACAAATTGCACAAATATACGGATATCTAATAGTTAAACGGATTGCAGATCAATAGATCACACCTCTACTAGAGAGTACATGTATAAGGCAGACCAAATATATGAAATGACAGAAAAAATAAATAATTTAGAGACTGTATTTGAAGAACTAAGAAATTCCTATTTTTTATCGTAGTTAAATTTTTTATTTGTATTATCCTATTTATTTGACTATTTTTCTATAATTAAATATATTGTTGCTTGTTGCTATATATTTCTTGTTATCTTATTTTCAATAGCCTCATTGTTAGGTATTGTTAGCAATGTAGGGTAGTAACTAGATTAGATATGATATTAAACAATAAATAACAGATAAAAGGCATCTATTTAATTTGGTGTAAACGTGTTAAACAAGATGTTTTGTGAAGGAAAAAAAAATGAAATGTACCAAGGAATGAGATGTATAAAAACCTTCTATTATCATTAATAAAGTTTTTCATAGTTCGATCTTTTAAATACATGCTAATAAAGAAGTATCCATAGGGATAGAGATTAGACCTGGGTGCGGTACGATTACCCGTAGATAAAAATGTGGGTTAACTCTACTGAATTTATTTGCGCCAGTGTTAATATGAATTGTAACAGAGCTTAATTTTAGCATACAGTATTTAGATTAATAACGCAAAACTGATAACGGAATACATGTACAAATTATCAATGCTTCAAATTTATCTCAGAATTTGTGAGAACACCTATAAAACTTTGACCTAAAGCTAATTAAAAAAATTCTGAATTTTCAAACCTTCATCTTCTCTTTCCTCAACTCAGGATAAAAAAGTACAAATTTAAAAGTAAAAATATGTAACGTATTTCAATATCGGTCAATTTCAATCTTAATGATTTTAAGCAGTTGTGGGTCAATTTATTATGGGATGGATAAATATGAAGAATCATTCTAGGATTTAAATAAACAATTCAAGCTGAACTAAATAATGCACTTGCTTTAAGATTTTGTGAACCATTTATCGTCTAATGAACAGATGATTGATCACTTAAAAATTTAGTAATTATTTGAATTTGAACCACATCATGCATATTAATGCTAATAAATATCTATATAGCTAAGTTTAGATACTGTATTCGTAAATGTGTTTTTACTGCATATATAAAAAAATCCCATATACGATTTAATAAAACATGACATTGAATAAAAAACTATACTGCCATAAAAAACCATAAATTTAATTACTGTCAGGAATAATGTCATCGATTTTCAAATTTTGTAATCCACTGTTAATATTTGAAATTGATTTAGTAAAGGGATAAACTTGCTTCTACCACTAAACATGCCTGCATAAGATTTTTCGATATTTTCAAGGTTTACTCTTGATTTATTCAATTCTGATAAAATATTTTTGTTATTTTGCCATTTCATAAAAATTTCGTAGAATTTTCGGCTGATGGTCGTTTTTCAGGTTCTTTGTCCAAGCATTCTTTCATCAAATTTATATAACATTGTGGAGCTTCTTTGTTAATGGGTGGTCGTAAGTAATCACAGCATATTTTTAATTGAAGTTGTTGTTTACTAAGAATATGATAATAAGTCACAGACATCCCATATAAGATTTCCCACATTATTATTCCAAACGAATATATGCCTGATTTTGTAGTATATGGTTGACCCATTAGAACTTTTGGGGCAATATATGGTAAAATTCCACAAATCCCGTCTTTCTTTTGTTCAGAATCAGAACTTAATAGTCCAAAATCAGAAATATACGCTATGTAAATCGTCTTGTAAAATGTTTCCACTGTGCAGATCTCGATGAAGATAACCTTGGATTGCTTCAAGATTAGAAATAATATCATTTAATAGCTCTAATTTATGTTCCCATTTCAATTGAGATACTTCTTGAAAATTATCTCGTAAAGAACCTTTTGATGCATATTTTAAGACAAGGATATATTCTTTGGAGTCCGGTTGTTGTGTTATTCCATGGCATTTTAGAAATGAAGGATTTTCACACCTGATTTTACTATATGTTTTAAACTAATCAAATAAATTAGTCACATATGCTTTTAACTAATTAAATAAATTAGTCATATAATTAAGTAGTTTAAATAATAATAAAATTACCTCATTTATAAATTCATAATAATTTGCTTTATGTAATGATTTAAGGGCAACTTTCAATTTTGTGAAATCGCCGCAGGACCACTCAGAACTATATACTGTCGAAAATCCACCTTTGCCAATTACTTTGATATTCTTAAATTCGTTGTATGAAATCGATAATAGTTCATGATTTTCATCGTTTAATATCTCTTTTAAATCAGCATCAAAATAATTTAACTCATATTTGTTTCGCCTCCTATTTATATTGAATAATAAACTTGCGTCAAATCTAAACATATCATAAATTTATTTAGTCGTCACTTACCAATAATTAGCTAGTGGTGAATCTTTAGTTACTCCAATTCCAAATAGATAACATAAATGTACATTATGTATTCCTGTGGCATCACCCATCTTTGCAGATTTCATGTACCAGTTAAATGCTATAATTTTACTCCAATCCCATTTTGATAACAATAACCAACTTTATTAACTCCAGAGACATTATCCATATCAGCAGATTTTTTATTATAAATGAATGCCCTATGTCTATCCTTTTTAACTCCAATTCTAATACGATAACAACGACCAACATTAAATATTCCATCGGCATTGCTCATATCAGTAGATTTTTGATAATATTCAAATGCTTTATGTTTATTTTTTCAACTCCTATCCCATTTTCATAACAACGTCCAAGATTATATATTCCATCTACATGTCCCATATCTGCAGATTTCTGATAATATTTGAGTACCTTCCTGATATCTTTTTCAACTCCTATTCCACCTTCATAAAAACGTCAAAGATTATATGTTCCATCAGTATGTCCGATATTTGATAAAGTTTAAATGTCTTTTTTATATCTTTTTCAACTCCTATGCCATTCTCATAACAATGTCCAAGAATGTATGTTCCATCAGCTTGTTCTATATCTATTGACTTTTGATAATATTTGAATGCCTTCTTTATATCTTTTTCAACTCCTATTCCATTTTCATAACAACGTCCAAGATTGTATATTATATCAGCTTGTTCCATGTTTGTTGATTTTTGATAATATTTGAATGCCTTCTTTATATCTTTTTCAACTCTTATTCCATTTTCATAGCAATGTCCAAGATTATATGTTCCAATTGCATTTCCGTTATCATCATATTTTGATAATAAATCAATTTCTTTTATATAATAATATCCTACTTGATTTATTCCATCAACATGTCCCATATCTGCTGATTTTTGATAATATTTGAATGCTTAATGCTCATTTTTCAGCTCCAATTCCGTTCTGGTAACAACATCAAACATTATATATTCCATTTATATGACCGATATCTGCCGATTTTTGATAATATTTGAATGCTTTCTTTATATCTTTTTCAACTCCTATTCCATTTTCATAACAATATCCTTCCCAAATATCATTGCTTAATTTTTAACTTCTTACAAATATCATTGCATTTATGTTTTGCCAAAAAACATTTTTGAATTCCACTCTTTCCTAAGTTTGTTGTTCCAAATCTTAATAAATCAATACAATGTATGACTGGATCTGTTAACAAGAACTCATTATGGACATCGGCACCTTGTAAGTCATAAACTACCAAACATCCTTCAGTGTATTGATACGTGAAATGAGCAAATGCCTCGAGAATGGAATGAAATTCTGTAATTAGACCACTATTCACATTAAATTTTTTAAATTCTGCATTATTAATATATTTTTCTACAGAGTAGTAAGTATTATCTGTCTCATCATATAAGACTTTACATTAATAAACGTAACTTTTTTTATTAACACCAGCCTGCTCCGCGGCTATATTGAATTTTATTGATAAAAAATCAGCAACAATAGAGATTTTCACTGATTCTAAATATTTTTTTATTGTGACTATTTTAATATTATGGTACTCTTTTACCACTAATTTATTAGCTCGTTCAAGGCTTATATCAAGGTGAAATAAGCATATCGTTCAGTACCGGCGGAGAACAAGGTTAAAAGACATATCTTGTTTAGTAAAGCTTAAATTAATAAAATAATCTTTATCTTTAACTTCAGCCAAAGTTTAGGTGGAATATAACATAAAAGTTTTCTGCTTTCTCTGGATGAGTAGTCAAATCAGGTTCGTGTGGATTGATTTGAAGTTTTTTTCGTTGCAAAAAGTATATGCTTTCCGAGTTTCTTAAAGTTGTGGTTAGTGTAATAGACGAAAAGATGGATGAATAAGTAGCCTTGCAAAATTTATTGACTAATAATTCTGGATTATATCCCGTAGTCATAAGATCAAATACAGGAAAACTTCCAATTATTTCACGAAATACATTAAGCATAACATAAGTAGAATAATTAATTTTTCCATAGTATAAAATGTTTTTTAGTTGCATTTTCTTTAGCACACTTTTGCAGTTAGACCATTCGGGTCACCGTTTGGATACTTATCATCTAAGTTGGTAAAACGACGACCATGTGGTGACGCATCACCAATATGAATAATAACGCTGGCATTGCTCCATGTGATCAGCATTAAAACCTAAGACATCTTATGGACGATCACCACATTTAGTTTCCACTTTATTGGTTATATACGTTTGAAATTTCTTGAGAGAGTTAGAAAATCAAAAATTTGTAAGCGATCATTACAATTATTGTGATCACGATACCATAGAAACCAACCCAGAATTCGATATTTGAATTATTACTGTCTACGTAACTAGCAACTTTTAATATATGCTCTTTCGCTGCTTTGATATGATTAGATATAGAGCCTGTACAGTCCAGAACGAAGCAAAGATCAACGTTCATTGAATCTTCAATATTAATGATTGTCTTTAATACTTCATTTTCTCTGTTTCTCCGTCTATTAATTTGATCTATTTCATTTTTGTAACATCTTGACTATCTTCTAAGAGTTTCATATTACCTATAAGCAATTCCGGAACGTTTTCAGAATTGCAAATGATACAAACGTTAGTGCTACAATCGTCTCCTATTTTTTTTGATTCATTATTGTTCGAAATGCATTACCCTAATCGAGTGAAATTTCATGCATACCACTTACGATCAAAATTTAGTATAATTTTCGTATTTCGTATGTCTGTACTGCCGTACTGCACTACTTTACCGAATACTTTAACCAACCAGAGTACGTACGTACATAACATATTATCAGTTACAGTAAACCAATAATTCCAAAATGACAAAGTTTCTCGAAAAGCTTTCAACTGATTGCCTTAAACTTCTCGATGATAAAGAAGATTTTAACGTAATTATAAATATTGGAGAATCGCCAAATTATAAGATATTCCAAGCATACTCCAATATTTTAATATACAGATCTTTATGTTTCCGTTATTAATTATCAAATATTAACAAAGATAAAACTAGCATTAAAACTATTAATTTAAAACATATTTCCATTCAACAATTTAAAATAATTATTAAGTAAGTTATATATTCTTATGGAATAATAAATTAAACCTTTATTTATTCATTACCTTAATTGCATGAAGACGATTATTTTTACTGAATATATAATAGATTATGTCAGGGTTTATAACAAAAAATTATGAAACGCATTCGTTTAAATGAATTATTAACTATCTTCAAGCAATGTCTTAAAATAAATCCTCGGGACGTTATTTCTGATGATATGGTATAATGATATGTAAATTCGCAAACTAAAAGATCAATTATCTTTTCTATTAAATATTAGTTGCATACAAATTTATGCAATTTTGATATTAATCAATTCTATCTTATATTTTTTTTATAATCGTTGAATAGAAAATAATTTTTAATAAACAAAGTTTTTTTTTGGAAAGTGTGGGAGAGTTTACTCGGATGTGTGGAGGAGTTTTGCTGGGGTGTACGGAGGATGTACAGGGGAGTTGTGATGTGCGGGGAGTTTTGCTTGGATGTGTGGGGATTTTTGCTGGGATGTGTGGGGATTTTAATTTTTTAATAACAAATGTTACATGCAAGTTAATCATTTTAAATGCTGATTTCAGAATTAAAGATAAGCATCGACAGCCATTTTTTTTCAATCTCATCGTTCCCACAACAATCGTTTTTAATAAAAATTGATTTTTCCCTGCTCATGTGAGGTCAACGCTATTCGGACTTACCATTTTGACCATTTGGACAACATAGTGCAAAAAACTTATATACAACGACTTCTTTCCAATACCACTAACAGATGCCAAACGAAGTTAAAAATTATGTTAATCATGCCCAAAAAAATCGAACCATCAAATCTATATCAAAAATGCGAGCGATTTTTTAGTGGGTTAAAAATAAAATCTGTAAAATATGCAAATTTAGAAGCCACAAGCTAACGCTAATAATTATGCTACATTTGCATTCACGGTAAACGAACAAATTAGCGCATACAAAATGTGATACTCCGATTTCTTGATTAATTTTACGTTTAATACATCACCCACTTAGCTCCAAGATTTAATTACAAAAATAACTATATAACCATATACTGTATTGTACATAAATTCTGTCCCTGTTATCTCTCACCATGAAACCAACCAAAACAATTTTTCATTAATTTGAAATATTTCATATTTATCAATCGAAAAAGTCTAAAAAAAACCGTTAATCATCCTTATTATTCAATTCTAGGTTTGTGGATTTTAACGATTTAAATTGATCGTACGTATTTAAAATTTTTATCCAAACTCATCTAAAAATGGAATGACATTTACTTTTACTATCGAATAATCAAACTTTATCAGAGTTTGTGCGTCTAAATCCTTTGGAAAAGTCATATCAGTATACAAAAACAGGATCTAATTAATGATGGAAGAAACAAAAATGTGAGAACTCACGACCAGGTTATAATTACAGCTATTCACATAAATTCTGGGACAAATTAAAAATTGGCTTGCTACCTGAAATCTCCTTGGTTCCGTCCTGTAAATTACCTAGAACTCCAGAAATTGCATCATTATCTTCAACCTTCAGTCCAGATATAGCGATGTAATTTCCGTAGTGTTAGGTTATTTACAGGACAAAACCGAAAAGATTTCGGGTAACGAGCAAATTTTTAATCTTCCTAGAATTCATAAGAACAGCTGTAAGGGTGGCACCGAAAGTGGATACTTTCGGCATTACCGAAACAGAAAGTCCACTGAAAATACTTTCGGTTTGCCGAAATGTTCGAAAGTCGAAAGTCGCACCGAAAGTCTTATCGTAGGTCAGGTTTACTTAAAGTTAAATATTATTAAAAGTTAAAAATGTTTAACGTCTAAATATTCTTATATTTCTAATTTGTTGTAATCAACATTTTCTAAAAGAATTCTTTGAGAAATTCGAAAGTAACCATTCACGTGACTGCATGTTAGCCAATTAACGCAAAAGGCCATATTCGATATGAGGACTCCACAGCAAAAGGCAGCAGTGGGACGTGTAAAGATTTTGCAATGATTTTGAGAATTGATATTTCCACACCCTTTTTGAAAATGCCACACCCCTGCTATTAATTCTAACTCAAACCCTAACAAAAACTTTAATAATACGTAGATGTTAATCTATATTAACAGTGCTACATTATTAAAAAAGGACATGGAAAGATCAACTTTTTAATTATTTATCCGCTGATCTAAATCTTAAACTATAGAATTATTTGCTTGTTTATATATTATAAACAAGCAAATATTTCTTTATAAAATTGTTGCATCAGACTTTTCTAAATGCATAGCCGAGGGGCGGCCAAAAAATCTTGCATTTTAGTGAGGTAAAAATCTATAAGTGTAATATAAGTTGGGTCAAATAAGGCCATGAATTTAGAGAGGTCTTTCATAGACTATGCATTTAGGGAAGATGCGCTTAGGGAGGCCTGACTATAAATTTTTACCCACATTTAACTACATATCGCCACCAGAAAGTTTCAATCCTCTGATTATATGTTACACATCACTACTATTTTTTTTAAAAAAATATTAGATCGTTATATATTTTATAAATACAGTCAGACCTCTCTATAGCCACCTTCTCTATAGTCATATTTGTTTATAATTATATAAAATTTTAAAACCAACTTATACAACACTTATAAAATTTAACCTCTATATAAGCACAAACTCTCTATAAGCACCAAATTCTTCAAACCAAGGGTGTGATTATAGAGAGGTCTGACTGTATTCTTTTTTAGACCTAGCATTTTAATCTAATCTATTTATATTTATCTAATAATTGCAAATTATTTAATTCAAAAATTTTTATAAATAAAAAAAATACATTGCTATATTCTGCGCAAAAAAATACACCATCTGCTAACCCTGGTCGTAAAAATATAGTATCGCAGCACAATAACAACTATATTTCAAAATTCGAAATATTATCTAACAAGTTTGTTTCGACACTAACATCAAATAAATTTAATTGGCCATTTATGAAGACTAGTCTCAAAGAGTATTTCAAGAGTGGAGACCAAATAACTATAGGAAAGATTAAAAGATCGATCTTTCCAGGATTATTTTATTTTGCATAATAGCGGCTTTATGTGTGTTATTTGGAAATAATTTTTATTACTAAGTTTTTTTCCCACAATATAAGGCAGAACACATAAATATATGTAGTGTATATATATAAATTTCGATTAATATTTCAGGCAAAGCATATGTGTTATATAAATTTTTATTCTAAGTAACTAATTAATTCTATAATTGCCCGAAGGAATGTAAATTTGATGCATACTTTTAATGGCTTCCATTAACCTAGCCAATATAGGGGGGGTGCCAGTAGAAAACAAGCAATTTGTTTCTAAGTAAATTTTTTTTTAACTTTGAACTAACATATCTCAATAACGATTAAACTAAACTTGAT